CTCTGCTCCAAGCCGCGGCCTCCTGACGGCGGCATCGGCACCGCCGGAGCAGCAGAGGGGCTGCGTCCACCCCAGGGCGAGAGGAGACCCCGGGGCAAGCGAGAGCGGAGCGCTGCGAGCCCACAGGCCACCGGCCAGGGCTGCTCGGAGAGCGTCGAGCGCAGGAGGCGGCGAGACACAGCACGCGCGACAGCATTCGATACGGAACCAGTTTAATCAGGTAGTGGGTTTGCACTGTTCTTTCCGGTATCACAAGTTCTGCGTTTTCTAAAGAAACGCACAAACAAGACACTGGGGTACAGACAGGAGAGCCACCACGCTCGAGGGCGGCTCGCACGCGCGGGACGCCCCTCGTCCTGCCCCGCGGGTCGCGCACGGAGCGCGGTGCCGGTGCCGTGTCCCCGCCAAGGTCAGCGCCGGACGAGCACCCGGACTCGGCTTCCCTCGGCAACAATGAAGCCAGAACCAGAGCAAGCCACTTCATCCACAAGCTCATTCAATAGGTTGAACACATGCTACTTACAGCACATAAATAGTTGCTCATTTTACTTGTTTTTTTTTAAAAAAGAAGAACGTGATGAAGGTCTAGTGCCCGCTTGCCTGGACACTGCTGCATGCAGGAGAGCAGGCGCCGGCTCCGCGCAGCGGGGAAGCCGCTCTGCGTCACGCCGGAGCCGCAGGCGCAGCCGGCCCCGCTGCTGCTCACGCCTCACCCCTTCAATAAACACTGCTCTAGCTAAACACTGTCCTTAAATACAAACCCCGGGGCTTCTTAAAAAAGAAACGTTAATCCACAAAGGGTTACGGTTAACAGATATCAGCAGCACTTTATTTTTTCAGAACCAGGAATAGTGTTGAACAACAAAGGGAAAAAAAAAAAACCAAAACCAAAACCGAACAACATTGCAGGTCATTTCTGGAAGTGCGGCTAGGGTACAACAACCTCTACGACATTAAGGGATTCTGCAGCCGGGAGCTGCTCCGTGACGGGAAGAGCAGGGCCGCGGCAGAAGATGGCAGCTCCCGCTCCCGGCGGGCGCCTGACCTTGCAGCTCCGCGCGGAGCCGTCGCTGCACCCACCGCCCCACCGGACCCACCGCCATGGGGCTGCGTGTGCCCACGCAGCAGGGCAGGAAAGTGACTTTGCAGGGAGGCGCCCCAAAATAAGAGAGACCTTGAGAGCTCGGGGCTCCCTGACAGTAGGTGATGCACTAGCTTTACCAGGAAAAATAAATAAATACCCGAGACCAACAGTCACTGACCGAGAAACTTCTCCGTTTCCCATGATCCAGCCCCCTGCCCTCCCCTCGGCCCCGTGGCTCGGGGGCAGCGAGTCCGATGGCAGCGCCAGGGTGGCCCGGGGGCCCCTGGGGGCTGCACGGAGGGGCCCGCGGGTGGCCCCACACGAGGGCCAGCGACC